TATATATACATATAGATCGATATATTTACGTAATACTATTTATATTCAATTGTAACTTTTCGATATTGATGCGAACGTGTATTTAGGCCAAACTTAAAATTATTTCAACTTTAATTTACAACCAAGCGAAAAATACAAAAAAAAAAGAAAAGAAAATTGAATCGAACAAAACAACAACAAACCAAAGAAAATGATGATAACGATGAACGATAACGATTTTAAAATATATTTCACTTTTTTTTTTTTTTCAAAGCGTCCGACAGGTAATGAACATCTAGTAAAGCCCATGCCCAGGAATTTGTATAAAATCGAAAAGAACTAAACATTTTGTAGTAGTTGCAAGCTCATTGCTATAAAACTCATTCGGCCAGCAGGCGTAGCCGCGTGTCGTGCTCAGCAGCTTTTGCCAGCCGCGCAAAACCTGTTGAGCCTGCTGGCCAAACTGTATTATATTCGATTGTACTTACATCACGTACATAATACTGCATTCCGTTATCTAAAAAATTAAAAAAAAAAAAAAAAAAAACACATTTTAACTATCGATAAATCGACTACAAAAACTATTTCAAGTTTAGACACATTTCAATGCCTCTCATTTTGTAAATTGCCTAATCGAAAACGCATTAGTACCTGGGCGTTCTTAACTATCTCTAATCTATTGAATTGTAGTCAACCTAACTAACTAACTAATATTTGTAACTATACTAAATACATATGTAATTACATACATATTGTAACTGGCCACCTYCAGGCGCCAGAGAGCCAAATGCTTTTGGTTTGTTCACGTTTTCGTAAAAACAACAGAATTCATCACAATCAAATTCGATAACATTTTTGAATTGAGTTTTTAGTAATATACTTGGACGTAGACTAGAACGAATATAGCCCTGTGGCTATACTGTTATACGTTTATTTCTAAGTAGCTTAAGTACGTAACTAAGTAACGATAACAGCCCAAACCCGTATTATATACAATATCCTTTTCAATCGATTTAATTGTACCATTTACAAATTTGTTACATATTTTATGAGTATATTAATAGCGACGTAGAATACCAGATTAGTATCATTATCATGCCGTTGAAGTAAATGTCTATTAAAATGATATATATGTATATAATTACATATATGTATATCGATATTATATTTACATACACATGTACCATATGTACGTTAATGGCTCATATATATATATATATAGATATACAATATAATCTTACATATTTAGTCATAAATCAAAATTTTGTACATTTTTGTTGGCTTTACCAAATACTATTGGGGTTTGACTTGATTTCTATGCGCAGTGCCTCAGCAACTCAATAAATCAATCGATCCATCCGATACGATACCCGATATACGATATTCGATATACGCTTTACGATATATTGTATACTGTGTACTGAATACGTTGTATTATATACCATATACTTTAAACCATAAATCAAATGCGATAAACATATATACTATATCCGATATTCTGTATGTATACGACAGACGATGTACGATATTTACATATGTATATACAATATGTATATTATATACAATATGTTACGATATGCGGTAATCGATAACGATAAAATATGCTGTGTTATATACGATATATATTATACGATATTCGAGATATAGTATACTGTATACGTATGCGATTTGCTGCAGGCACTGCTATAAGGAATTGGTTATTAGATATCAATAGTTTATAGTTTGTAATTATTAGTATCTATAACATGTATACGTAGCTCTAGTCTGCCAAAATCTGGTATAGTTTATACATATATAACTTCTAGATATATCGCTCTAGAGCTTCTTCTCGTATTCCGTAACAACTCCCACCCTTAGACTCGCTCTCTCTCATCATTGTAAAGTGCTGATAAATCAAATTCGATTCACATAGATGTGTATCAGAGTACAAATATACATATATATATATAAACATACATATATTTAGATATATATGTATATAGGTAGAAGAGCAGATCCATTTAAATATGCTTCACTGTACGAAGTACATGTATCTTCTTTAGCCGTAACTGTACATAGCTCGTGTACCTGTAATATCGTAAAGTAGCTCAAAAGAAGAACACGTAACAAAAGAATGAAGAACGAGCAAAATGCTTAAACAAAAAGAAGAAAACAACGCAAGAAGCGTTTGAAGAAGCAACAAAAGTGAAAAGAGTTACGTCATTTTTTTAGCTGATATCAAAGAATTTGTCGCAGATTTGGTATCAGAATCGAGCACCCTAATAAATAGACGTGCATACGCACAAGTGTGTGTGCGTGAGTGTGTGCGCGTGCATGTGTGTGAGTGTGAGTGTGCGTGCTCATGTGTAGGAGCCCCACTTGAACTTGCGATGGCAACTCAACACGCCTCCATGCCCAACTCCAGTTCCGTCTTCGGCTCCGGTTTTCCGACTTCCCGTCTCCATCTTCAGTTGCCGCCGCGTTTAGGGCCAAGCTCCCTGGGCCGCAATTGACGACGGCGGCTGCGCTCAGGACCCGAAAAAAAGTGCACAGCTGCTGTCGCATAACTTGAGACACGCAACACCAAGCCCAGCACCTACACACATGCAGTGAGTGAGTGAGTGAGTGAGAGTAAGGGTAAGAAGGAGATAGAAAGATAGTAAAAGTGGGTGACTGAGAGATAGGCAGCCTGACAGATAGACAGATACAGAGATTGAGAGTGAGAGAGAGAGAGAGAGAGAGAGAGCGTTTAAACTTTTGTCAGAGCGCCTATCTAAGCAGTTGGCAGCCGCATCTATGTGGGTCGACCGCTTTGGGCCGCAGCCGCCGCTGTAGCTGTGGGCGCACTTGTGGGCGCCCAGAAAGACATAATACCTGCAATTAAAACGCAACTCCAGTGTCCTTCGCAGGCATTGGGGCCTAGGTCAAACGCAACGCTCGACACGGCCCACAGCCAGCGACTTTGAACTAGTTGCAGCTCCCGAGACACGTTGCCCACGCCTGGCCCAGTCTTGTAGCTTGCAGGCGGGCGGGCAGCTGGACTCGCCTGACTGTCCTACTCTGACTCTGTCCCTCTGTCTGCTTGCCTGTCTGACTGACTGTCTGTTCGCCAGTCACTTGCAAGTCGATTTAAATCTGTCAAATGACTAACCAAAGACACAGAGCAGATGCATACCCACATTTACACACACACACGCACACACACAGACACAGAAGAGATAGCGCTGCCTTAGCTGGAATTCAGGCCGAAGGTCGGCTTATTGATCTAAACGCCTACATCAGAGAACAGCAGTGCCACCAGTGGCAGCAACGAGGAGCAGCATCATCATCATCATCATCATCAAGCACTTATTAACAATTATTGACATTGACAATTGGCACAAGTCGACGAGACGTGGAACAACTGTCTGTCTATCTGGCATCTCAAGTGCTTGTTATTAACAATTGTGCATGATGCCCTTTGATCTGGCCAAAGAAGGTGCCGTTAAGGCATCGCCTCTTGGCCATGTGCGCATTCGTGCACTTTCCAACACTGTTTGCTCCACCTGCATTTAACTAGTCTAAGCGTGGTCTTTAAGGATGGCAGTAAATAAGTGATTAAGCGCAGGGTTAAGCTAGCAACTAAGTTCTATACGTAAGCATAAATAAGGCTAGGATCTAATTATCCAGAACTTAGCGATATTCTGGTATTCTAAGGCATCAGCTATACGAATAGTGCAGCTACGATTAATTCAAACTTTTCATTTACTTCTCAATTTGTATTTTTTGAGTTCATTTTCACTTATATTTGCAATGCCCTTGCAGAGAAATTCCGATAATTGAAGTCTATGTGTTGTAGTGCTATCGATGAATTATCGATTCTAATCGAAAATGTCGAATGTGTGTAAGAAATGTAATGAAATTACATGAAAATAATTCGGGATTTCAATAAAAACCTCCGGATGTTATCGATATATCTATATATCGATGTCAAATACTTTGCAAGGGTATGTCATCGAACGGCTAGCCGTTTATCGATTTATAACTGAGAGAATCCGAACTAAGCAGGCAGCAAGTGCACTCAAGCTACGCGTACTTTACGATAAACAATAACAAATGAAGGAAATGCTGAGAAGAAGAATAAGAAAAGTTAAAAARAAAAACAAAGAAAAAAAAAAAAAAAAACAAATTGCATTCGAAATTCAATTCGTTTTTAGGGTGATATTCACCGGAATCTACACATTTGAATCAGCTGTTAAAGTGATGGCACGAGGTTTCATTTTATGCCCGTTTACGTATCTTAGAGATGCATGGAATTGGCTGGACTTCGTAGTAATAGCTTTAGCGTGAGTTATATTATTATTATATCAAACTATATATACAAATATTAATCGATTTACTAACTCATCAACGTCAACTCAACGTCAATATATAACCAGACATATCTCACAGATCTCATTAATCATCCTCTATATATACATACTACGACATCACGCTCCTCTACTCGTATGTGTACTATAAATATAAATATCGCTTTTCGTTTTTGTTTTAGTTCATTCTTTGTTCTCTTCTTCTTTTTGTTTTCGTTCTTTGAATCTCGTATCGTATTGTATCTTGTATCGTAATCGCCCTTTATTCTATAACATTAACTGTTATACACGCCACATTAACTGATTATTTTCCCATTTCAGTTCATTTTTCGTTCTTGTTTTAGCCATTTTAATGAATACAAAATGTAGTTAATACATATCGTATGTTAATTAACTAGCAGCCCATAAAAACAGTAACAACAAAATATATATATTAAATGTTTAAAAAATCATGAAAAAAATATTTATATGAAAGCAGAGTAATTAAAAATTTTATAAAATTTATTAAGTTAAAATTTTCTTTTTATATATTTATTTTGTTTCAATTATGCAAATTAGACAAAATAAAATGAGCGAAAATTGAATAAATGCAAAACAGTATTGAAATGCAAATTTCAGCTGTGTGTGAGTGTGTGTGTGTATGTGAGTGATTGTGTGTGTTGTCATTACATGCTTATATTGTTGTTATATACATTTTGTTTTTCATTGGGAAATATGAAAGCGTTTCGTCTAACCAAAAACGGGCGCACTGCATTTTAATTTTAATACACACACACATACACACACATGAGTAACAGGACAAAATGTCACGACAACAACAACAACAAGAGGAGCAACCACAAYATTAACAATAATAACACGTATGGGCAAAAGGTAGCTTAGCTAAAATTACACATACGCCATGTGAGCCGCGGGGCAGCGAAAAGTCGCGTTAGTTGAGAGTGTTTTTATTGATTTCTTTTGTGCCGTTACTAATGACGTGCCCAACACACACACACATACACACACATTGCCTATGATTATATCCCATACCAAGAAATACCAAGGCAGAGTCATAAACAAATTTTTTTGACTTTTTTTTTTGTGCTCGTTCTTTTTCTTTATTTGTTTCTGCAAGATATTATTATTATTATTATTTATTTTTTCTTTTTTTTTTGGCATTTTGTTTGTTGTTGTTCATTTTGGTTTTCGTTTTCGTTTCGTGACAGTTTCGTTTCATTGCTTTTTGCTCCAATTTAACCATTTATTGGGCGCCCTTTGTCTGGGTAGCGACAGGTTTTTTTTTTGGCCCGCATTACTTGGCCCGAGCTGCAGGCTTTTGGCCCTCGGTGGGGTGGGGGGCAGTTCGAGGTTGCTGTAACGTGGCTGGGCTATTCGTGCAGCGCATTTCGCTGGCGCCGCATAGACGCGCAGCCTTGGACAAGCCATACAGCCCAACCCACCCCCTTTACACACACACACACACACACACACACACATGCACAGCTCACATGGCATTCCTCAGTTGGTGGCACAAAAAGTTTAAAGCGCGCTTTTAGGCGACGCGACTAAAAACACTAAATTGAAGCCAAAATGAATAGAATAAAAAATGTGGCTGGAGCAGCATATGAAGCTTTGCTTATGGCTGAGCGAGCACACACATAAATAATTATATATATATGATATATATGAGCATACATATATATTGCCGGGTAAACAGTTTAGAGGCCAGCCCAATTAGATGGCCAATTTACACGCAATGCGAGCATGTACTCGCTGAGAGAGGGGGCCGAGGGTGGGGGAGTGAGTGACAGAGAGAGAACTACCTTATATGCACACGTGCTGTCTCTCTCTCTCTCTCGCTCTCTTTCTCTGTGTGTGTGTGTGTGTGCATTTAACTGTATTTATATGCGTCCAAATCGATAAATATTCATGAAAAATAAATGTTAGGTTTGCCTGGCTGCAGAAGTAACGTGAAATTCCCAAAGGATGACAGCATACAGCACGACAAGGCAAACAACTCAAGCAAATGGACATTACCAGGCCACACCAAAACCGCTTCTATCAGCGTGTGTCTCTCTCCCTCTTCCCCCCTCTCTCTTTCTCCCGCTCTCTGTATGTGTGTGTGTGCCAGCTATTTCCATGGTACGCTTGTGTGCGTACATAAATATTTTTATAGCAACACGGACAGACACACACACACACACACACGCTCATGTAAAAACAATTGATGTGACAGCAGCAATGGCAGGGGAAGCAACTGCTGCACCTGCCTCAGGTGTGACTTGAACTTGGCTCTCCGCAGCTTGTGGCCCATTGTCGTAATGAATCATTAAGCTGAGAAGGCGAGGGGCCCACTAACTGGCCAAATCCATTTTCACTTTTCATGCGTCTCACACACACACACACACACACACACTCACACACATACATACATACACACTGACACCTTCACATCCAATCAAATTCATTTATAATTCAAAATCCATTTTATTTGATTTATTTTGCTGCTCTATTTAACAAGAATACAAACATAAACTATACGACACACTCACACACATATGCACACGCACACATACATACATGAAGCAAGCTTCTGTAAATCTAATAAAAAGAATGAAACAACAAATCTCTACATTTGTAATTACTAACGACTGCAAACATAATCTCGTACCAAATCTCTATTTTTACATACTTAGATCGATAGCATTATATATATTAAAAATATATATTACATATATCTGTATAATTGCCAAATATTTAATGACATTTCATGTGTATGTATATTTGCTTTTGTCATCGTTAATAACATTAACAACAACAACAATTGCTGACTACCACAACAACAACAAATGACCTTTAATCTTGGATCGCGCACAGTTATGTGACCATGGGTATAGATTTAGGTAATCTAGCAGCCTTGCGAACGTTTAGGGTGCTGCGTGCGCTAAAAACCGTAGCCATTGTTCCAGGTATGATTTTGAAACAAAAAAATAAAAATTTAAAACTGTTATACTGTTATACAACCCGTTATACGAACTGTTATACAAACTGTTATACCGTACAGTCTATGAATTCACGATAATCTGCACATAACATATAAATAACCCGCTTTTATAGGCCTGAAAACCATCGTCGGAGCGGTCATTGAGTCTGTGAAAAATCTGCGCGATGTGATAATATTGACAATGTTCTCCCTTTCGGTGTTCGCACTGATGGGCCTCCAAATCTACATGGGCGTGCTGACACAGAAATGCATTAAGAAATTCCCGCTTGATGGTTCCTGGGGCAACTTGACCGATGAGAATTGGGACTATCATAATCGCAATATTTCCAATTGGTATTCGGAGGACGATGGCATATCGTTTCCGCTATGTGGCAATATCTCTGGCGCCGGGTGAGTAGATCGCAATAGATGTTGCTGCACCACATCCCCTTCCCCATATTTGTATCGATATTGATGATCGTATGGTATCGATTGATTGCAGTCAATGCGATGACGATTACGTGTGTCTCCAGGGGTTTGGACCGAATCCCAACTATGGTTATACCAGTTTCGATTCATTCGGTTGGGCATTTCTATCCGCCTTCCGTCTGATGACGCAAGACTTTTGGGAGGACCTGTACCAGCTGGTGCTACGCGCCGCTGGACCCTGGCACATGCTGTTCTTTATAGTCATCATCTTCCTAGGTTCATTCTATCTTGTGAATTTGATTTTGGCCATTGTTGCCATGTCATATGACGAATTGCAAAAGAAGGCCGAAGAAGAGGAGGCTGCCGAAGAGGAGGCGATACGTGTAAGTAGAAGGCCCAGTAGAGACCCAAACGCCCAATGGACTAACAACCACCACTACCATAAGCCACTTGAAAAGAACGGTAGATAATTTCAATCTCAATTGCCCAAGCGCCGAATTGATCATTGAAAATATCTACCCGATATAACAGAGTTGCTTTTTTCTTTTGTATATGTATGTATTACCAACAAACTACAAAGCTACGAACTATATATATTTATTATATGAATATTATTAACACGATTTCCAATCTCAATCTCAATCTAAATCTCAACTTCAATTTCTATCGATCCTACATTATTGTCAGAGTAGTTGATGATGATGGGAACACATTCTAGTACATCTTCCTGTCTATATATCTATGTATGTAGCACACACACGATTCGATTGTGTAGAGCTGTAAAGAACACCTATCCACCAAATTCCATATATATACATATATATGCGTAACTATATATATTCTCTGTATAACTAACTCAAATATCTATCTATCAACACATACTTATACGTATGCATATTGCTTACCGATTTCCAGTAAACTTCAAACTATATATATACATATATATMAAATATATATTCGAAATTATGATTTTGGCTTTATTTCAGTTTTAGTATCTATCGTGTAAAGCAAGTAAATTATTTGTCATGCCAAAGATCTGGCACTAAAACTAGTGACTGTACATTTTCTTAATCAATCTAAATATATATATATAGATGTATCTAAACACAATTCATATACTATATATCATTTAAGTGCACAATTTATGAGTTCTTTTGAGTTTTTAAAAGTAAAAAGCAATGAACAAAAGAAAAAATCAAATACAAATAGATTTGTATAGAAAGAATCAGACCTAGCCCCGATCCCAATCCATTTGAAAAACTCTTCCCGATCCCAGCACCGCACTTGAAATCATCTTATATTTTTAACCTCTACATATGACTGTACATACCTGGAATGTAGAACTTTATCTTTTGTTCTTAAATCACCGAAATCCAACGAAATCTTCCCCCACTCCCATTGCATGTAATCTCTCTCTGTCTCTGTCTGTCTCTCTCTCTCTCTCTCTCTATCTCTATATGTATATATATATATAAATACCTTATGCCATGTGCAACGCCGTGCCGATATTAACTCGCGCCCATTTCCAGATCAGCAAACAATTTTCTCTGTGCATATATATCATTATAGGAGGCAGAAGAGGCGGCCGCTGCGAAGGCCGCTAAGTTGGAGGAGCGAGCCAATGCGCAGGCGCAAGCCGCCGCAGATGCAGCCGCCGCCGAGGAGGCGGCCCTGCATCCCGAAATGGCCAAGAGTCCAACGTATTCGTGTATCAGCTATGAGCTATTCGTGGGCGGTGAGAAGGGCAACGACGACAACAACAAGGAGAAGATGTCCATACGCAGCGTCGAAGTGGAGTCGGAGTCGGTGAGCGTTATACAAAGACAACCAGCACCTACCACAGCACACCAAGCTACCAAAGTTCGTAAAGTGAGCACGGTAAGTATTCCGAGCGCATTAATAAGTTCCTTTTCTTTCGTTTTTATCTCGTTTCGATTTACCTTTCTTTTCTATATGAATTTTGATTTGATCTATTTTTTGTTCTTTTGTCTTTCTGTGATCGTTTCTTGGCCTTGTTGAATTGTGGTTTATCTTTTTCTTTGACCTTTATTGGGATATATACTTATATGCTAACTGTACTCTATAGGAATATATACTTAACGAACTTGTGTTTGGTTTCAATGTCAATTTCGATTACAATTTCGATTACGATTTTGTCATATGCAGCTAAATGGCCGGTCAATAAATATTATATCGTTTATTAGTTGCAATCAGTGTGGTATGAGTGATTTCTTTCTTTATGCGTTTGCGTTCCTTTCTCCTTTGTTTGCCATACTGATATTTAGTCTGTTATCGTTTATCGTTGATCATTGATCGTTGATCGTTGATCGTTGATCAGTGGTCGTTGATCGCTGATCGAATTTTGATTGCCTTCATTCATTGTCCATGAATGCAACGAGCTCAACTTCAACTCGTCTTCACTCGTTGCCCGACGCGAACTCTCGCTGAGAGAGTTTTGGCTCTCGCTCAGACTGCTTATTGTCCATTCGTCGTTTCTAATTACATATTATTAACTTTTCCTGCTGCTGTTGTTGTTGCTCTTTATTTTCATTTGTAAATTATATATTATAGCTATCATAACTAGCCAATATCGATACCTATATGCCTTTAATCTAACGAGTAGTGCTAGTGCTCTCTCTCTTTCTATATACATAAATAGATTTAGTGTCATGCATAAATAAATAACTAGATATACATATATACTCATCAATCAAAACGAACCTGTATGCACCGCAACGAAACCAGCCATATTGTTGTTGTATAGTTGCTGCTAACGCCAACTGCACTCGCGTTTCGCGGCCTTTGTTTACAGCGGACAGAAGCTATTTTAGTATTTGTTTGTTTAAATAATTTTGGAAACTGAGACTAGAACGACCGTTTGCTAAATGCGCCAAAATACTGATTTCATTACAAACTTATTAAAAATACTATAAATTGTGCTTTTCAATACTGGTCTAATTGCACATTAGGGGTATCCAGTTCTACTCTTATCAGTTTCAGCGATACCATAAAATACGATTTTAGTATTTGTATGGTAAAAACTATCGCTAAAAACATTTATTGTTAATAGGTATGAATTCAATACATTGTATGGACGATTTCAAATAAAATCTAGAANATATAGAGAGCCAGAGAATTTGTAGTCTCGCTCTACCCATCCACCCTCTCTCTTTCTCTCTCTCTCTCTCTTTCTTCCTATGTGTATGTATGTGTATATACATACATGTCGCTCTCTCTCTCTTTCTTTCTCTCTGTCTCTCTTTCTTTGAAATTGCATTTCACTGTATTAGCCAGTAATTTGATTGTATTAGTGCATGATATTTGTCAACGTGTGCGTGTTGTATCTTTCAGCTTCTGAGCGTCTGCGTGCGTGTGTGTGCCTGTGTAAGCGTGCTTGCGTGCGTGTGTCTGTGTGCGTGAGTGATCAGACAGTCTTTTCTGAAATTGTTATTTCGTTCATGCTCGTAGCTTCTAGCTGGCTCTTATAATTGGCATTCGCATAAGAAAATTTTGATTTTTGGATTTTGATTTTGATTTTGTGATCTCAAGAACTTATTTAACGGGTATCTGTTTGGATTTGTAAACGATATTTTTCAGTTCAGGTTTTCAGTTGACTCATTGCTCGGAATGCTTTAGGTGAAAACTTTTCGGTTGTACGTAATTGGAGCTCAAATACAACAACAACAACAACAACAACAACAAGAACAACAACAACAACAACCAATTTTATTAAATATATCAATTCAAAATACGAACACAAATTCAACGATGCTTAATCTCATTACAATGCAAGCATTCTTTTTACCAAGGACGACTACCCAATGCCAATCAATGAAACTTGAAAATCGCATTTACAATAGACGCCGCTTCAATCGAAGTGCAACAATGACATGCTTTGAGCCATTTTCACACCTCTCAGCTCACAATCAGTCGAAAATTTGTGCTTGAACTCTGCGTATCTATCTAATCTAATCTAATCTATCTAAAGCTAACTAATTAACCAATCTAAATAACTTGCATAGGACAGCTTGGGCTTTTCATAACTCTGCAATTGAATTTCAGAAGCAAAGATCTTTCATCATTTTCGTATTATTTATATCATAGTTGACTGATTTGATTCGATGATTTCAATCTGTCTTATGGCTGCCTTTTCATTTGCATGCATTCAGTGAACGTTGCTTTGATTTCAATTCAATTACTTGCGACTAATACATGGCTGAAAGAAGCTCGAACACGAAAGAAAAACGAAATATTTAAGTTCGATTTTAGCAAAGAGAAGCTCTCAAGTACAGTACGGCACAATGGTTACACTAGCACCGATAAATTCGATAACTATAAGCGAAGCGATAACACCCACATGCTGCAGCATGTCCATATATAGTTCTGGATTCTTTTACTCCCACATAATTATGCTAAATACAATATATATATGTATATATACATACATATGTGTATGTATATATATTCTCGATAATTTTTGTTGGCTTTGGCAAGCATTTGCTTAGCGCACAGCGGCTGAGACACACTGAAACTTCCAACTCTGGCACTACGAGCTTGGGGAAATCAATTGAGGACTCTACACAAATACACACGCATCACATAAGATAACACTAATAATTTCGATATATAAAGTAGACTTAACTTACATTTTATCTCTGACTGACTGATTGATTGCTGACCAAAGCTTAGCTTATTTGTAAATCAAGAACCATTGGAAATCCACTGAATGGAATCCCAGGTAGTACGGGTCCAAAATAGTGCTCAAATCATAGCAAATATTTTATTCGAACTTTGTACTCTCTCACCAAAAAATACTGTTATTGCTGTCTCGCTCTCGCATTTGCTAGCTCGCTCTTAAATGCCAATTGAATTGCTCAGCGATTGCATTCCAATAAAAAACTAACTATACTCATAGTCGTAATCGCAGTCACAGTTGGTCACAAAAAAAAAGGTCCCAACAAAATGGGCCACAGGTAGGTTTCTCTCTCTGTAAGCCTCTCACTCACACTCTCTAACTCTAATGCTCTTTCTAATAAACCGAACTCTTCTACACACTTCAAGCAGACACTGAAATCGATAGATTAACTGAAACAGTTCCAGTTCCAGTTCTAACAAATTACACAGGCCAAGAGGAGTTAGAAACGCAAGGAATCAGATTTTAGAAATGAAAACTAAAAATCAAGATCAAAAATAGTTAT